TTTTATCAATGAAAGAGAGATATGCACACTGGTTGCTCCCCACCAGGTAACAATTACTTACACTGAGCTTGATAATAAACAAACGTGTTTGTATTTAGTACAAACAGTAGGATTTAAGTGTTTGCAAGTGAAAACAGACAGATCAAAGTAAATTACGAAGCCAAAATAAACAAAACACGTCAGCAAACCCTAATAGAGTAAGAAACTTGTTCCCTGCATATTCTTACCCTAACAGTGGATCTAATCATCTCTTTCACAAGCTAGGCAGCCTCCTAGCTTGGGCCTGATCCTCCCCCCTCTTCAGTCTTAGATGTTTCCTGTAGGCATCTTGGATGGTAAGTGGGGGGTCTCCTTCTGTCTGGACATGTCCCCCTCTTGTTTGGCTTCCCATCTTCATATCCCAAGGCAGGAATTCCTTGTGTTCAGTTCAAATTTCTCTCACCTTGAATGGAAAAGTACCAGATCCAAAATGGGTTCCTACATCAAGTGGCCTGGCTTCATGTCCTGGCAGAACCACCCACAGACTTCCAGGAAAACCAAAACCATTCACAGATTGTTACCTTGAGCCCCAGGACATTGTGTTTCCGGAGTACCAGGAGCAGCCCCCATGGGCACGTTTAGAATGATGAACAGATCCACTCTTCATGTTTCTAACTTCCACAAGGACACCAGACTCTACCCAGCCACCAGGCTGCTGCTGGAGTCAGGCTGTCACGAGGAAATGCACCAGGTTGGCGTGGCCATGGCACTAGCGTATCTATGCTCCTGGGAAGCAACTGGAGATGGTTGGAGGCTTTGTGTGAATGGGGAGGCCAATTGCTGGTGGAAGGAAATCCAAGACCATGTCGGCAGTGGGATTTGGGCTAGAGGGAGACCAAAGGGAGGGAGGGAGAACTCCAGCTGGAAGATCCTGACCCACCTCCCAACAAGACGGAGAGGGCGGGTGGAGCCAAGTTAGTGGCTTATGGAGATTTTGTGAGAGAGCAGAAAGAAGACCCAACACTACGGCAAGTCTGGGAATGAGTGAATGACCCCAAAGATGAAGGGAGCCTTTAGGATTGAATAGCCGCTTTGAAGTCCACAACAACCAATTATACCATGTGACCAGGCACCTGCAAACCCAAGAGAGGCACCAACAGTGACTGGTATCCTGAAGACTCAGATGGAATCTGCTGCCTTCAACCCACTCAGCACCCTGGCTGGGTATCTCGGGCGAGAGAAGACGTTACAGTGGGGGGCTATGTAGACTTAGGCTATGTCTACACTGGTGGCTTCTTGCGCAAGAACATCTTACGCAAGGGTTCTTGTGCAAGAAGTCTTGCGCAAGAACACGTCCACACTGCCATGTGCGAGATGTGCTTTTGTGCAAAAGCATCCACGGCAGTGTGGTCGCTCTTTTGCGCAGCCATGGGATCAAACTACCGACCTTCAGACCAGGGATCGAATCCCCATGATTGCTGCCCTCGTCCAAGTCCAAGTTGTGAGCCAAATGGCAAAGCCCATTGGAAGTGACCTGAAGGATGGGACTGGTAAACTATGAGTGTACTCAGAGACCCAAGTCCGCCATGTAACCGCTCAAAGGCCTGTAAGGCCAGGGAAAGTTTGTTAATTGCCCCCTACCTCTCTGAACCAGAACTGGGGTCTATATCATTAGACCCATCAGATCCAACTCCCATGTCAATTGGACGTGAGCTCAATGGAAAGTAGCAGCCGCGGATGTGACAACTGGTCCAGTCCTTTCCAGCTGTGCTATCGTCCTTCCCTGGATGACCCTAGCCCACCATCCCACAGCCACCAGCCTGGGGCAGAGGGTCCAAGAACCACGCTCAGTCCCTTCCCAAGAAGATGTGAGGAGCTGTCCAAGAGGAGCACAAAGCAAAGCCGGGCCTGGAGGAGTGGAGGGGACCCATTGTCCTCATCCAAAAGCTCAATGGGTCAATGAAATTCTGCATTGACTTTTGGAAAGTCAGTGCTGTCTCTCATGCATCGATGCTCACCCGAGGCTCTGAGTGGATGAGCTGCCCAGACGTTGAGGAAATTGGTATCCACACTGGACTGGAGAAAAGGATACTGGCGCATTCCCTTGACCATAGAGAAAACAGCCTGGGCCATGCCTTTCCCAGGTTATAACCACGCCATTCGGGCGAAACGGGGCCACTGCGACTTTCCAACAGCTAGTGGCCCAGCTGTGATGACCTCATGACCAGTATGTGCTGGCTTTGCAATTTGCAGTACGAGCGGGGAAGATCGTCTATGACGCTTCACCGCAAACACTCGGGGAGCCAAGCCAGTCGTGAACCTGGCTAAATGTTTCCTACAGCAAAGGGAGGTGACCTACCTACGGTGCTCACCGGGACGGGGTCCGTTACGCCTGCTCATGAAGGAGATCCAAACCCTGAGATGCCCTCAGACCGTGACGGTCAAGAGGCAGGTGAGGCACTCTCTGATATAGGTGTGTTGTTGCTTGTGTTCCTCACTCTGGCTACGTCCCTCACAAAAAACTCCCAGGCGCGGAAAACACCGTGGTCGCACGAGTGCGAAAAGGCCCTGGAAGTCTGCATGGCTGGGCGACCTTTGTGCTGTTGGGACTTCTTGAGGCGATTTATACTCCCGAGCGACGTCTCAGGGGTGGGCCTCCGAGGGCGCTGTCCCCAGCCTAGGATGGGGAGACACACCCCATATTTTACTT